CACTAAACCAACAACTGTGTCCTTAATGGGTGTCATCCAATTGGATTACTGTACAAGATAATACTCTATATTGTAATTGACATTAACTTATAGTTGATCCGAATCTTCATCATATATGAAAGGTCCTCTGAAGCATTTTCTACAAAATTGTTGGCCAGTTGATCTTCCTCGGTGACCACAATTTTTTGAAAAGAGTCGCAAGCAGAATTTGAAAAATTGTTCTTGTTTTAGCAACTATGTAATCTGTATCCTTTGGGTGGATTTGGCGGAAAAATGAATGATTACTGGAAGGTAATGCATGATATTGATCAGTATCAGTTGGCACAATGATAACAGGTTATTTATATTTTCTCTGACTATTTTTCATATGGCTTGCGACTTTCGTATGCTTACTTTATTTCCAAGGTAAATTGTTTAGATAGTATGATTAACGCACAACAGTCATTCCTCAATTCGAATTTTTGTCAGGTACAATTTCTTATATATTATATATCATTGATTCCCTTTCATGTTCTAGTTTATCTATATCAGGACTTTTAACCAGGTTGATCAATTGCATGTGCAATTTATCTATATCTGGATTTTGAGTTCCACGTCCGGTTATGCAAAGTCTATTCTCCAAGGAGCCGTCTCTTGAAGGTAGGTCCCTATATTTCAAGTTATTCTGTTTTTCTTGTTGCCTTACACCAAGATTTCTATCCTGGAGGCATCGCTGAGGTTTACATCTTCGTAGAGTTGCTTATTTCCAAGAGATGCAGTAAGTTTTTTTTTTACGTTCGAAGACTGGAATGCATTGAGAAAAAGAGAAATTATGACTGGGAATAGATCCTTTCATTTTAAATTGGGGACTTTGGTTTTGTTTATCTCATAACAAAAGGAATATCAAGAAAAAAGAAAAGTATCAGCTTGTACCACTTGTTTTGTTCCTCTCACAAATCCTTTGCATGTTTATGTTTTCTGCTATGGGTCTGCATGGTTACATACATTAGATTATTTTTTTCTTACCAAAAAGTAATGCAAATTACCCAAGTTGTCTAGCATTCAAAGAGCTTTTGGTACTTTTGGGGACTGTACCACCAATGGAAGACCTCGGTCTTGTGCCTTTTATTCTCTCCTGACCTGTCAAATTTGGTGTTTGTGGGTTCTGTTTTTGGAATTTTTCTTTTGTTAATGTGAATATTTATTTTCTCTGGTTTTAGGGAGTTCTTTCAACCAAGTCAGAGCACTTTATGACCTTTTGATTCAGGTGAGAGATCACTGATTCAGGTGAGATTTCTTCCGTGACATTGCTTTCCGCTCATCTTTTCTTCTTTAAGCTGTTGCCCTCTCAGCAATTCTCCCATTAGCGGCACAGTTTCTTCCAAAGTATTAACAGTCTTTTATGTCTGTTAGGTCTATTGCCTTTCCATTGATTATCTTGTTGTTGCCAAGTGAGCAGTGGTGAGTAATCTCTTTATTTTTAATCTTTGGCCTATTCTTGTAAGTAGAGGCTCTGAATTTTTTGGTGGTACAATTACCATTTTCCTTCTCCCCAGATTTGTGGTAGCTATTTTTCTGCTTTCATATATGTGGAGTACTGTTGTCAAGGGCAATTTGACAGTCTCACCTTTTGAGGTCCAGATTTTTCTCATAATGATATAGTAAGTAATTGTCCTTAATGGGTGTCATCTATTTGGATTAATAATGTTCTATACTGTGATAGACATTAACTTATTGTTTTGAATCTAATCGTATATGAAAACTCCTCTGAAGCATTTTCCACCCAAGTCTCTCATTCGATTTCGTATTTGACATTGTAAATATTGGGGAAAGAAAATAGACTATTCTCTTAGATACAAGAGTTGCAAAATCAACTTTCAATGGACAAAGAAGAGGCAGAAAAATTGCAGGTATAAGCTTTATGCTAAATATCTAGTTGTACTGCCAGTCGAGCTTGTTTTTCGTATGGATTGTATGTTTACTGACACTGTTTTCACATTTCCCTAAAACATCATAGGATTGCAGGGACAATTTCCTGAAACTGTCATTGAAGGATACACAGGATGTCTAGTAATTGCGGATAAGTATGATGTACGAGTGGTATGTACATCTAAATCTTGTATGCATGGTGTGACTGTTTTGTCGAATGTTGAATCACTGTCAAATTTCCAGCCTTTATGACAAGGAAAGAAATGTTTTGCCATGCTAGAGTGTTTCATTTGTCTTTTAAAATATAATTTTGCTTAAAGGGTTTGGTTTCTCTGGTAGGTAACAGCTCCTAATGAATCTGATATGTGTTTCCAAATTGTGAATTCTCCAATCCTGTACTTTCAGATTGATGTTTCATTACTGTGGATTCAGTGAAAAGATTAACTCTTATGATAGTGTCGAACCAAACTATTTGTATGACCTGTTTTGTTTTCACTTTCCAAATTCTTATATTACTATAGTTTTGGAGTTAACTACCATTTAGCCGGTCTGAATGCAGTGGATTTGCTCCATGTTTAGTTAACTCTTGTACCTTGTGTAAATACAGATATCGTTTGCAGTTGGTTTGAGTTGGAATTTATATGTTTTAATTTTTAGGAAATCTACTACAATGCTTTAGTTTTTTTATAGATAAATCTTTTTAAGCCCACTTATGCTACTAGTATCTGGAACACTTTCTGATGGGATTCATGTTCTGACTTTATCTACAGATATTATCTCATAAAGTTATTTCCAGCATTTGTGATTGCATTCTAAGAGAATCGTGAAGTTGAGAGATTTAACCTAGATGACGTGTGTTTTATTAAGTTCTTGAAAAGTAGCACGAGTCGCGGAGCTAATATATTCTTCTACAAGTGTTTCGTTTAGTGTTGATGTGGTTCAATCTTGAACTGCATTTGTGTGCAGGAAATATGTATTTTTCTTTACTTTGTCCCCAAACCAGCTGTCCACCACTTCAAAATGTCAAGAACAACACTTATCATGAAAAGCTTCATTGGTAACATTTTTCTAATATGATTGTTTATCATACTAACTTTTACTTTTTAGTCCATTGTTTGTTTCGGTGTTTATAGTTTTATATTGTATAGAAGCACGAATCAATGGATCATATTATCTTATATAATCCTTAACCTTACAGCTAGGTTTTTATGCATCCGGGGATTCTCCCAAGGATTAATGCATTCAGAGCTTCACAGAGTTTGTGGTACTTTTTGGGGATTGTTTCACCAATGGAAGACCCAGGTCTTCTGTTTTTTACTCTCTCCCGACCTGTCAAGGCTGATGTTTCTGGTTTCTGTTTTCTGAAAATTTTCTTTTGTTACTGTAAATATTTATTTCCTCTGTTGAATGGTCCTTGGCGCTTTCCGCGTTGAGGTTTGGTGAATTCCGACAGAACCACGTACAACCTAATGAGTGTGCACTCATTTGACTGCACATGACTCTACGGACTAGGCGAGCGTGACGACCTGTTAAAGTCCCATGCATCGTATGTGTGATTACACGTTCACAAGTTGTTCCTTTTCGGATTAAGGTTCGACAATGATCATTCCATAGGTGAACCTACGGAAACCTTATTACGACTTCTCCTTCCTCTAAATGATAAGGTTTAGTGGACTTCTCACGACGTCGTGGGCGACGAACCTCCCACGTCGCTGTGATCTGAAACACTTCACCGGATCATTCAATCGGTAGGAGCGTCGGGCGGTGTGTACAAAAGGCAGGGACGTAGTCAACGCAAGCTGATGACTCGCGCTTACTAGGAATTCCTCGTTGAAGTCCAACAATTGCAATGATCGATCCCCATCACGATGAAATTTCAAAGATTACCGGGGCATGTCGCCAAGGTGTGAACTCGTTGAATACATCAGTGTAGCGCGCATCGGCCCAGAACATCTAAGGGCATCACAAACCTGTGATTGCCTCAAACTTCCTTTTCCTATATGAAAAAAGTTCTTCTAAGAAGCCGGCCGTGAAGGGTCACCTCCACGTAGCTAGTTAGTAAGCTAAGGTCTCGTTCGTTAACGGATTTAACCAGATAAATCGCTCCATCAACTAAGAACGGTCATGCACCACCACCCATAGAATCAAGAAAGAGTTCTCAGTTTGTTAATCCTTATTATGTCTTGACCTGGTAAGTTTCCCCGTGTTGAGTCAAATTAAGGTGCAGGCTCCACTCCTGGTGGTGTCCTTCCGTCAATTCCTTTATGTTTCAGCCTTGCGACCATACTTCCCCGGGAACCCAAAAAATTTGATTTCTCATAAGGTCTATTCTTGTAAGTAGAGGCTCTGAACTTTTTGGTGGTACAGTTATCATTTTCCTTCTTCCCAGGTTTGTGGTAGCTATTTTTCTGCTTTCATGTGAATAACCCGACCCGGAATGGCTCGGCTCATGAAAAAGTGGAGAATTTAGGAGCCCATTACTATCTTTAGTGAGGCATGGGCCCTTTAACCCAAAAATATCATCTCCCGCCAAACTATTTTATATTACAGTTTTGTAAAATATAGATTAAACTATATGTAATTCGATAATTATTCGAGTAACTGTATATAGGAAATATCTAATCTGAATTTGTTCAGTTATCTTTTTGTATGACTCGTTTGGAATCCCATTTTCATATCATATTAGAAATCCACGGATATCCAATTTTCCGATATATAACCCATTGGATGATATATGGTGAAACATGTGCTGACTCTTGAAGAATCAAGAACTGTTTGTTGACTGGGATCGTATGGAACAGTTGAATGAATCTAAAGGTAGGGCTTTGAATTTTGTGAGGGTGAAACAAAAGAGATATGACAAGTGAATCAGTTCACCTGATATTATTTATGTACATGTATATCATACGTTTTCACAAGGTGGAGATTGTGCTGTGTTTCCACCGGTTTGGCGCAAACCGGGACTTGGTTTACTAACTTGCTTTTGCAACGTATATATACATGATTAGCCACGTCAAATGACAAATGCCGCAACACATAACTATAAATGCTGTTAATTTTCTTCTTATATATTTTGCATTTTGCAAAGGTGATTTCAATCGAATAGGAAGATGGACCAAAATGTGGGTCTTTTCTCTTATAGTATATGAAAGAAAAGAGAAGACGTAAACATAGCTACCAACAGCATGAAACCAGAATTCCAGGTCTGACAACCAAAAAAACACGCGTTTTGAAAAGCCTTGACTAGAGAGAGAGGCTTCAGTTCATTCTGCGGATGAGTTCATTGATGTAGTTCTCTCTGTTTCCAGCGTCTCCACCTTCAACATAATGGTTCCTCTTCTTCTTCAATCCCCCGAGCGGAGCCTTCAACTGGAATGGCCACAAGAAGTTGTTGGCTTCCTTGAAGTGAGGACCGACACTCATTATCTCGTGGATCAGATCCTCCGTGCATATTATCCCGTATTTCCCGAGTGCCTGCTCAATAAACATCCATCTTTTGTTAACCTTAGCTATCAGATTCAGACATTGTGGATATAATGCGCCAAATGATCTCAATAGGGTTTCATATAAATGCAAGTTAGGTTATGTCAGGATCATAACTTGGCTTTGAACCAGTCCTACAAAAGAGAGGAAATGTTCTTCACCTGCTCGATGATAGAGTTGTCTGTTAAGGCAATCCTCTGGTGGTTCAGCTTTCCATAGCCTCGTTTGTAAACCAATTCCTTCACGCTCTTCAAGTTGGGGTACCTGTGGAAAAGGGGGCTTAGTTTGCAAAAAAAGACCGATCGGTTACTTGGAAGATGCACAAGAAAGAGCTATACCCATAGGTCACATAAGGCTCAACCCGGTGAAGCATGTTCATAGTTGCTTTGTTGACTTTCAGGAACACACCATTGAAGATCTGCAAAAAAAGAATATCCATAATCCATGTCAGGAATAATCCAATCGATTAGTTCATACTGGCTTTAAACAGGTAAATGTCTATGGATAGAAGGTAACCTGTCTCAACCGCAAAAGCTGCAAAATCTTCCGTGTCTTCGGGTCGATAGCATTGATACTAATGGCACAAAGACGAGAAAAATGTAAGAATTCGGCACAAAGAAAAATACTGCACTTCACTCGAGACATTAAAGATCTCATACCCACGAATACGGACAATGAAAAGCAATTTTGCTTCGGGATCAACATAAAAGCCACCCTTCAACTTTGCCTCGCGCTTCAGCTGGATCAATTCCTTTTCCTGGAGAAACCGATATTGAAAATTTTCATGAATATGATTTCCCAATACTGAATCTGCAAAAACAATCAATAGAAGAATTGTACCTTCTCCTGGTATTCCTTGTCATAGTTTTTAGCTCGGTTGTAAATGAGCTTCCTGTTCTCAGCACTTTTCTTTTTAGCAGCTTCGAGCTCTTGTTTCTTGGCAAGCTCCCATTCCTCCTGTCGCTTCCTCTTCTTCAAAACCGACTCGGGAACAACCACCTTGGATTCAGTCATTTTCCTGGGTGTAACAGAACCAAAGAACATAACCAGATTTCAGTTTCATCAGAGCAATGAAAAAAGAGTTTCGAGTTTAACCACACATATCCCGGAGAGCCAAACTGAAAAGACAAAAACCCAAAGACAGCTAAAACTGGAAACATGCTTCATTTGTTACTTCAAATAAATTTCCTATTTCTTTCAACCAAACAACTACGCCAGATCCATTCAGTCATCTTCATCCAGAAGCACAATAGCTTCACCAAATAACGCTTTGTCTGCCTCAAGCAAATAACTGATATGATGCTTCAACCAGCAGATGGTTCATCACAGAACCAACAATGTAGAGCTACTACTGTAAAGAACCCATCATTAGTTCCAATCCAATAAATCATTTCTTTCTCAAGGACCTATATTCATCTTCATGTCAATTCCATGAGAGCTTGGAAACAGCTTATATATTGCTGGGAAACAATAGGGAGAGAACACCTGAGCTCGTAGGAGCAATCATCATTCATTTCTCAAGAGCAAAACCAATGAATGAGACACAGAATCCATTAACAGCATTAACCCTTTTAATTAGAAGAATTCCATGAACGAGCTTCGCATGAACACATTCAACAAATGTATAGTTTAATGCACCGCATCATCATAGAAGTTCAAGAAAAAAATGGCTACTTTAAGGTACTTGTTTTCTTCTCCCAAAAGGACCCCACTTATGCCTCAAATTCTCTGCAATATCCCCACAGATATGCATACACACAAACGTAATGGCGTTCCATAGAACGCCGAAGAACAACCTTTGCAGTGGACTCTATATAAGCAACAGATTCTGCAACTTGGCCCACCGGAAAACCACTCGGATCCAAGAAAAAAGAGAAGAAGAAGAAGAAGAAGAAGAAGAAGAAGAAGAAGAAAAAGAAGAAGAAATAAGGTTACCGGCGAAGGACCGACGGCGGCGGCGAAATCGAGAGAAGGCGGCTCTGCAACAAAATGAGAAGAGAAGGAGCTTGAAGAAACCTAATTCCCCCTTATACTCTCAGTCATTAGGGTTTCTTTATGTTTTTGTTATTCGATTTCCGCCTCTTAAAAGTTGAAATATTATGTTTGCGTCTCAAAGTTTTGAAAGACAGAACTGACCCTGGGAAGCAATGTTTCATTTCATCAAAAGCTATAATCAATGTGTTTAATGTATTTCATGGCGAACAAATCTAAAAGACACAAAATATTAATTGATAATTGGACGATGAAATTGCATAAATAAATGGCATTATAATTTACTCAATGTATAAAGAAATTGATCATGATGATTCTATAAAGAAAAAACAGTTTTGTTTCGAGGGAATTGGATTTATGATTTGATCAGGATCTATTTTGTGATGTTTTTTGTTTGTGTTTGAAAAGGAAACGTTAATTATGTCTAAGGATACAAATGATAAAAATAAAATAAAATAAAATAACCCAAATATTGTGGTTCGGATTTGATTCGATTTAGTTATTTTAATTTGTAAAAATTACAATCTTTCAATTTTTATATTGGATTCTGTTCGATTTTGATTTTTATTGATTAAATTATTTATTTTTAAAGAAAATTTTGTTTTTATTTATTCTATTTGGTTCAGATTTGATATTTTTTGTTTTAGAAAAAATATAAACATTCATTTTTATATCGAATTCAATTTGATTACGGTTACTTTTTCTTTGATTTGAATCAGTTTGATTATTTTTAGTTGAAAACAAATTAACCTGAAGCATGAGCCCGGAAAAAAGTCAATTTGGATCCAAAATCTCTATCAATAGGACATCAAATTGGATCCAAAGCTCAAATATCGGTTTGAGTCCACCTAAAAAAATTTCAAGTTTCCGAGTCGGGCCTAAATCGGACTCGTGCTTTATCGTACTAAGACCGACAGAATTTAGACTGATCCGAAAACACGATTTATTTTTAGAAAAATAGACTAAAAAATACATAAAAAATGTGATTTTTTATGTTTATTAAGTTGGTCGGTCCGAACTCGATCCAAATCCAGATTTTATGGGTTAGACTTCTACTTAATTTATTTGATCCTAAAAATTCAGGTCGGTCTAAACCTAAACCTGAAACTTTCGGACCGAGTGCGAATTTAGGCCATATTGATCCGATTGACGCCCCTACCTATCAAGCACGAGCCATAACCATGAGGCTAGACCGGAGCTAGAGCCCGAGCTAGAGAGGAGGCGAAAGCTATGCAATGGAGCATAACATAGACCGTCTTCTTAGCCAGTTCTGCGCAAATTGCTTTGTGCCTCTCTAGTCTTAATTGGTTCTTCAACGTCATACTATGTTCGTTGTTGTTGGGTGTATTATTTTATAATATATTCATACATGATTAAATTCTAATTTTATAACAACTGTGACACCCGAATTCCGTATCCCGTGAACAGGATATGCCACATGGACGAAATCAATAAAATATAATAAAACCGAAAGTATGAGAAATTAAAATCATTTTACGTAAAGATACGCAGCAGAATAAACACACCACACGTTGCTTAAAAACAACACATGTCCAAAAATGTAATTAAACACATCCTCTTCACATGGAACCTTGTTCCACAGTCGAAAACACACGAAAGAAAGATAAAACGTTCGTACATGATGTTACTTTTCCCAAGTTGTCGCTGTCGCAAGTGTGCTACTCGTGCTCCTCGGGATCTGAAAAATTTAACAACGGAGGGCTAAGCATAATGCTTAGTGAATGGCTCGGGTTGAGCCCGGAGAGCCCATTTCCATGACGGTACTGACTCGTCTTCGTCGACAGGCACCGTTATGGAAACGTCCACACAATAACACCAGTACTGACTCCACATCGTCAACCGGTACTAGTGTTATGTTTCGGTAATAGTACTGACTCCAAGTCCGTCAACCGGTACTACTACCAAAACCACCCCCACACCAGAGATGACTCCAAGGTCGTCAACCGGCACTGGTTCCATATCCACACGTCCCCGTACTAATACTGACTCACGCCGTCAACTGGTACTAAGTACGGGATCCATTAGTTATTCAATCACATGCATCATCATAATTATTTATCCATTATTTCTATATCACCATTTCCGAGTTTTCCTCTTAGATTTATCCTGCGTATTCACTTCGGTTTGCTGTTTAATTCCTTTCATTTTATGCACTTCTACCTTTTTCACATTCGTTCGACATACTTGTTTTATCCTATTTCGTTTGATCACAATTTAACACCGTATTCCAGTTTAATCAATTTAAACCTATAGTCAGGGTTGCAGCCAGTCCGTTCGGTCCACTACATCGACCGAATGGTCCAGCCATTTTGAGGTTTGACCGGACCGGTCGGTCTATGAGCAGGCCATCCGGTCTCCGCATGTGCATCTGGTTTGGTTTTTAGTCCTGGACCGTCCGTTCTACATGGCCCAGACCGGGCATTCCAGCTCATTCGGATCGTCCGTTCTATGTGGTCCAGACCGGGCGGTCCTGCATATTCACACCGTCCGTTCTATTTATGGCTCAGACCGGGCGGTCTAAATCACTCTGGAACGATCGGTCCAGCTCTTTTCATCATATTCGTTCTGTCTTGTCCCAGACCGGACGGTCTGGAACCAGGACTTCGTCTTCCTCACGAGATCCAGCCCGATTTCTCGCCATTTTTTACCAGATTTTGGTCCGATTTCGATTCCGATTGTAATCCACTCATTATTTAACATTCATATACCCTTAATTCTTGTAGAGACACTAATCTACACCATTATTCATGAGAATTGAATCTCACAAACACAACTCTAACCACTCACCTCGGATTCAAGTGCTGTGCATTTTTGTCCGAGCTCGTGTACGTTCTACGGGCCGTCTCTGATCGTGAAATTTTCCAGGAACCTTCTAGGGATGTCCCTCTTGGATTTCCCAAGCTTGTTTCGTCTCAAATCCCCCTGAATCTCTCTATTTTTCTCTACCCTCGAAGAACAGATTTCTGGGTTGCAGAATAGTGATCTTCACCTGTTGCAGCTGATTAAAAGCTCGGTTTTGGCGACAATTCGGGCCCGAAAATGGGGCAGGGGTCCAGTCCATGTCATGCACTACGTGATGAGTGGAAGCAGGCGGCACGTGGGTCACTTTGGTCGTGAAATAATGCATTCCTGTCCAGTCTTCAGTCCGTCCGGTCTGGTGTTGGTCCATCCGTTCTAGTTCGCGAACGTGCAGACCGGACTGTCTGCACCCTGGTCCGATCGGTCTTGACCGATTTTTCATCTTTTTCTCTGTTTTTCGCTGGACCGGTCGGTCTACCTCTAGACCGATCGGTCTACCTCTAGACCGATCGGTCTAGACCATTTTTTCTTCGTTTTTCCGATGTTTTCGACGTGTTCTAGTCCCACTTGTCCCTTGATTCGATGTTTATGTCAATCACCTTATATTTTAGACTTGTTTTACCCTATTTTATTCTCGAAATTAAATTAAATAATTTATTCGGGAATCGAGGCATTACAAATACTCCTCCACCAATTGTGAAGACATCTCCATTCGTGGATTTTATTTTATCCAATAATCCAATTTGCATCACAATATCCTTCAAATACAGCTGGATATTTGGAGCTAACAATGTAAAGCGTTATTTTGAGTATGTTTTAGATAACCCAAAACATGTTTAATTATCATCGAATGACTAGGATCTAAATTACTGATATGGCGACTGAGTTTACTTATTGCACAAGCAATATCTGGTCGAATACAGTTTGCGATATACATCAAGATTTTTAGAACTTGCATAGTCCAATTGAGATTCGTTTTTTTCTTTGTTTTTTTGCAAAAGCAAAGTTCATATCAATTGAAGTTCTTGCAAAATCAAAGTCTAAATATTTAAACTTCTCAAATACTTTTTCAATATAATGAGATTGAGATAACGCAATACCGTTAAGAATTTTAATGATTTTAATTCCAATAATTAAATCAGCAGCTCCTAAATCTTTCATGTCAAATCTTATGGAGAGAATACGCTTTGTATTGTTTATAGTTAAAAATGTCATTATTTATTATCAACATATCATCAACATATAAACATACAATTACAGTTTGGTTAGAAGTGTTATTAATGTAAATACATTTATCACTCTCATTAATCTTGAAATCGTTTGTCAACATTACATTGTTAAACTTAGCATGTCATTATTTTAGTACTTGTTTAAGTCCATATAAAGACTTAACAAGTCGACACACTTTATCTTCTTTTTCTGGAACCACAAACCCTTCAGATTGCTCCGATTTCTTCTTTTAAATATCCATTTAAGAAGGCAGTTTTAACATCTATTCGATTGATTTGCAATCCATATACAATAGCCAAAGCAATTAACACCCAAATAGATGTAATTCTCGAGACTGACGGAATATGTATCAAAATAGTCAACACCTTCTTGTTGTTGAAAACATTTAAGAAGTAGTCTCGCTTTATACTTGTCAATAGCACCATCATCTTTCAATTTTCTTTTAAAAATCCATTTGGAACCTAATGATTTGTTCCATGGAGGAAGGTCAACCAACTCCCATGTATGTTTGACAACCTCTTTGTCGTACTGAATTTCTAAAGAAGTCACAGCTTCTTTATATGTTTGAATCTCATTTTCTAACATGAATGTTCGAAAATGGACCAAAAGAGGTAGACATCCTTTGACGTGTGCTATGTGTATGTAACGCTCCGAGGCCGCTACGGAATGATGGAACTGTCCTCACACACCAACACGAGATCTTTTAGCACGCTTTGTCCTCACTCGCATACATCGCGTAAAATATTTTCCAGGAGATCCCTCATCATAAGACTACTCCAGAGAAAGCACACTTAACTTTGGAGTTCTCTCGAGATGGACAACCGAAAAGGTAGATGCATCTTATTGCTATCAGTAGCTCA